GCCTGAGGGAGGATCACCTGAGGTTCTCTTCCAAAAGCCAGTCAGGCAAATCCCGATGGTTAGGGGTGGCTGTGCAGTGGGCATGGGCTCAGGCTTTTGCTACTTCTCCCTCTTTCCTAATTTCTGAGGCTAGTCACCCCATAAGCCATGGGACACATGTAAAAAACAGATATTTTCCATGTTGGGAGGTAGCCAGCTAGGATTGGGCAGGGTCATGAAATAATACATTCTATCCAGAAGGGCAGAAGTTATTTCTTGATAAACTTGATACAACATAAGTTTATAGATGGTGCCAGTTCACTACACAGATGGCTCAAGAATATAACAATGAAAGTATCCGTGGTCAGGCAAAGCAACTAGGAAGCAAAATCTCAGTTGTGCTTTGCTGGGTAAGCAGCATGTACATAGGGATGGCACTGGCACTTGGAAAGCAGTGTACCAACACCTAAAGTCCTAGGAACTGCTAGGTCTAAGAAACAGTGTGTGTTGTGGGCCTTTCCATTACTTGTCTCATATTAGATCCCAAACCTAGGTGATGCTCCAAAGTCTGCAAGTTGGGATCCAAACTGCTCGGCTTTGCCATTATCCAAGCCCCAAGTTACATTTCCAATTGCATTTCTCTTTACTGCTAAATAACACTACCCACCTTTGGAAGAGCATAACACACTCATTTTATATTCCTTATGGTAGCAAATGAGGTGCTCCTTAATATAGGGCCAGTATATCTCTGCATCCTTATGTCCAGGTCATTTCTGCCATACCTGCCTCCACTCACAGTAAAAGACTTAACTTCCCTAAATGACTATGGCTTTCATGCTTCCACGCCTCTACACAAACTGTTCTCTGTGCCTAGAATATCTTTCTGAGACTTGTCTGCCTGGTGAGCTCTCTTTCCACTCCCACTGCCTGAAGAACGCCTTATTCATCCTTCAGGATAAGCTCAGGGTATCAGCCCCCACTGCTTCACAGGACTTGAGCTTTGTCTCCTGGTGCTGCTGCCTTGGCAGAAGTGCTAGACTCCAGGAATTAGGTAAACAATGATCTTGTATGTGCAGTTGTTCTCTCATACTTCCATATATACTTTAAGCAACTTTGATTTGGGGTGTGGAGGAGAAGGACATAGAGAAGAAAGCTATTGCTCTTTGAATACCAAAAGCTGTTTTCCTCAATTTCTCAGAAGTTCTCACTCTCTCCCACATGACAGCCACACTTTGAACAACTAAGGCCCTGAAAAAATGTCAGTACTGCATATGATTTTATACCAGCTTGCGTTACTTGCATATTTCATGCTTGGTCATTTCCCTAGCTGGGCTGTCAACTCTTTTAGGACAGAGGGTAAAAAGGGCCTAAACTTTGCCGTCAAATAGATCTGAGTTCCAATCCCAATTATGAGCTCTGTGACTTTGAGCAGATTAGTAATCTTCTGAGGAGTTACTTGAGGGCAGCATCTTCTTCAGCATCTGACACATAGAAGGCTTTTAGGATAAAGTCCAGACACTAGCCTGGCCTACACTTCATTCTCCTGCCTCATCAAAGCTTACTGTCCCATTTGCATTCTAAGCTCTTTTAGAATGTGCTATGGTGGTCCTCACCTCCAGACCTCCATTTTCCCCTCCTCTGTCACAAGGCCAACTTTGATTCATTTTTCAGATCTTACCGTAGCTCTCACTAATGTTAGGAAGATGTGGCAGAGGTTGTTAGTTGCCTCCAATGTCCTTTCCCCCTTCCTCTATAGTAATGGACCTCCTCTCAAATCAGTGTATAGCTGGGCACGTGATTGTCCGGAAAAATGACATTTCCCAGATTTTTTTTTGTTTTGCAAGAAGGTATAACTTTATGGCTAAGTTCTTTCCAAGAAATGCCAGATAATGTGGCAGCTTTTGAGAACATTTCTTAAAAGGACTGCTGGCATGATGACCATTACCATTTCTACTTTCTATTTTGAGTCTTCTTCCTTCCTGCTGGCTGCAATGCAAACATGACGACTGGAACTAGAGCAACTGTTTGGGGACCAAGACAGAGAAGTCTGGGTGCTTGGGATCTTTGTGGACCAGGGCTATCAGTCCTGCTTCCAGAATTCTCTACAAGGGCAAAATGAACTTCTATCCTGGGGAGGTAACCTCCTATTTTGAGGTCTTACTTTCAATCAAACCTAATTTTGACTGCTAAGTCTTTCTTGGCTCCCCACATCTGGTTACCTCCTTGACTTCAGTAGCACCCTGCACTTTATACAGCAAATGAGGCCACCTGTTTGTGTGCATCTGTCTCCCTGAGTGCAGAGGCTCTGTTTACTTTGTTCTATTTTTGTATCTCTAGCACTTGGCTGATTTATAGGTGTTCAGAACATTTTTGTTGAATGATTAGAGATGTTTTGTAGATTGAATGCAAATAATAATATTGCCTACCTTGTGTTGCTCTGAGGGTCAAATGAGAAAAAGTGGCTTTAAAACCTTAAGTTTCCTTCCCTTCTTTCCACATTCCCCCACCGATCCTCACACCCAGGGTGGGCCACCTTACACTATGCCTTCTTTTTACTGTTTTCTTTTCCTCTGGGTTCAGAAGCCTCCATTGCAAAATAATTGGACGAGATCATTTGAATCTTAACACCCATTCTGAGTCTAAGTGTCACTCTCACCTCTTCAGTTCATATGAATCTCTTCCTCCTCTAGCTCCCTGGAAAGGCTCTCCAGGTAGATGGAACAGCAAATACAAAGGTATTGAGGTGTTACAAGCCATGGAGAATTAAGCATTTGGGCTAGTTTGGTCTGGTTGGAGGAGGTAGGTGTGCTGCTCTGCCAGAGAAGAGACAGGGATCCCACTGTTATTTATCTGGGGGAGGCTGGGAGACAGACACGATCTAGCCCATTTCTGTATGTGTTATCCTCATGCCTTACCTAGTTATTAAATGATCTCTTGCTTTTGTGTTTTGTCTTTATAGTACTAAAAATTATGGTCAACAACACTGTTATAACTTTTGACTAGTGAGAAAAAAATTTTTGTGTTATTCACCATGGTTCCCAAGAAATTACTGCAATATTTGTGTTTGTAAAACATCATAAACAACAAATGCAGCAACAGAATGCCTATAAAACTATAAATGTTTTCTGGAAATGCAGTCTTTTTGCTTTTCTTGGGATAATCCTGTGGTTCTTCAGTGGTGACTGGTGTGAGTTCTACAGAACCACTGCTATGTGCATGGAGATCCAGCAGAGATTTTTGAGCAAGGTGTCAGCCATTCAATGTTTATTGGGTCCACCAGGTGCTTGGTGCTGGGCCAGAGGGTCTAGGATGACAAAATTACTGTCCTTGAGAAGCTCACAGTTTATTTAGTGTGAGGCACATACAAGTAACCAAGCAAATAAAACATAAGAGCCAGACTGGAATTATTGATAGTGTGCTGTGGGACCCTGGGGTGGGGAATAAAAAAGGGTGTCAAAAGGAGCAGGATCTGGTGCTGGACCCAAAGAGCCTAAGATATCCACTTAAGAAAGATCACTGGCCAGGCGCGGTGGCTCAAGCCTGTAATCCCAGCACTTTGGGAGGCCGAGGCGGGCGGATCACGAGGTCAGGAGATCGAGACCATCCTGGCTAACACGGTGAAACCCCATCTCTACTAAAAAATACAAAAAACTAGCCGGGCGAGATGGCGGGCGCCTGTAGTCCCAACTACTCGGGAGGCTGAGGCAGGAGAATGGCATGAATCTGGGAGGCGGAGCCTGCAGTGAGCTGAGATCTGGCCACTGCACTCTAGCCTGGGCAACAGAGCGAGACTCCGTCTCAAAAAAAAAAAAAAAAAAAAAAAAAAAAAAAAAAAAGAAAGATCACTGCAGCACCTGTGGGGTACATGACTGGGATAGAGAAGAAACTCTGGCCAGGCAGACCATTCAGGAGGTTTTTGCAAATTAGGATGATACAGGGACCTAAAATAGGGCAGATGCTATGGAGACTTAAGAAGAATGGATGAAATATTTGGAGGCAAAATTACTTGTGCTCGGTAAATTGTTAGAAAGTGGGGAAGGAGTCAAGAATAATTCCCAAGTTTGGGGTCTGGGGATTAGGCAGATAAAAGAGGTGAGGGCACTAAGAGGAAGGCTGGGACCTTTAGTGCCATCTCCTCCATCAGTCTCCATTCCTTCAAACGGATAGTTGACATTTTCTCAATGTTTTGTAAATTTCCAGGCAATATAAACCGTCAGGACCACCTTCCAATGGGATTACCATGTCAAAGCCCTTCCTCTATCATAGGGAATCTGGACCATCACTGTGTGTGTGTGTGAAGGGGTTAGGGACAATGACCAGTATTATAATCTATGGACAAAGTTGGGCTTGGTTGCAGAATATATTTAAGTTTGGTATTCCTTGTATTTTAAAAAATTTGTTTACTTTTTAAGACTTTGAGACAGGGTCTCTGCATGTTGCCCAGGTTGGCAACTCCTGGCCTCAAGCGATCCTCCCGCCTCAGCCTCCCAAGAAGCTGGGATTACAGGTGCGAGCCACCCCATACAGCTAAGTTTGGAATAATGAATACGGCTGAGGTCCAGAAATATTTAAATTTGGCATGATGACTAAGAGTTTGTTATAGGAGCTCAATCATTTGATAAATATTGAACAATTCCTATGTGTCAGATTGCTTTTCCCACTAGGGATGCAGAGGAGAACAAGACAAAATGGGTCCTTGTCCTCATAGAGTGTGGGAGACAGGCAGTAGACATATAATTTCAGGTAGTTGTAAGTATCATAAAGAAAAAATAAAGCAAAATAAAACAAGAGAGTGCTGGGAAAGACCAGGGAGCAGACAGGATGACAGAGCTGTCTTAGGGTGTTCAAGACTTCTTTTAAAAGGAAGAGCTCTTTGAAAAGGTGGTATTTGGGCAGAAGTCCACAGCAAGGAAAAGTGGCAGGGACTGCTAGCCGCCTACGCATGAAATGATGGGGAAAGGAGCAATACAGAAGGCATGTAACATTTCAGAGTCTATTAGGCATCCGAGGGGAGGTGCTGCGGAGGTGGATGCATGGAGGCAGATGGATGTACACGTCTAGAGTCTAAAGGGAGATCTGAGGCGGAGATATGAACTTGGGAAATGTCAGTTCGGTTCCAGGTTCCAATTCAACGTACTTTTATCAGAGTTCACTGCGCGCCAGGGACTTGCTAGGGGCTGAAGGTCCGGAGATAAATTGGGTTGCACAGCAGACGGACACACCAGCCAACGTAGTAAACCCTTGGGTCCGGCTACGCTCTGGGCGCACTCTGCCAGCACAGAGGAGCAGCGAGTCAGGGTGCAGAGCGGGTAGCGCTGGGGAAGAGGCGGCCGCGGAGCGAGACAGGCTGGCGGAACGGAAAACGGAAGCACGGGGCGGGGGCGTGACGCAACGGGCACATCACAAAGAGCGCCGAGAGGGCGGTGGCGCCGGGGGCACGGCTTGGCGGCTCCGCCCAGAAGAGGGCCGAGAGGCGGGGCGGCGCCCCCACCGCGGGCCCGCGGCGCCCTCTGCAGGCCCCAGGCAGCGACTTAACAGTTGCCTCATCTTTCCTCTCCTCCCTCATGCTGCTTTCCTCAGGCCACATTTTTTGTGTGTGTGGGTAGTGTTCCCTAGTCTCTCAGCCTCCGACTCCCGTCCCTTTCCTCCACTTCCAGGCCAGGCGTGTTAGTGTCTTCGTGGGAAAACTGCCAATAAAGTTTTTCCTCTTCTCGCTCCCAGGATCCCCGCTTTTCTTCAAGCACCGCGAGATCTGACTGTGCGGCTACCATGGCGGCGGCGTTTGAAGACCTGGGAGCCGTAGCGGCAGTGGCGACTGCTATGCCAGCTGAGCATGTGGCCGTGCATGTCCCGGCCCCAGAGCCAACACCTGGGCCTATGAAGAGCCTGCGCACCGCTCAGGATCTCAGCAGCCCGCGGACCCGCACGGGGGACGTGCTGTTGGCGGAGCCGGCAGACTTCGAGTCACTGCTGCTTTCGCGGTCGGTGCTGGAGGGGCTGCGGGCGGCCGGCTTCGAGAGGCCCTCGCCGGTGCAGCTCAAGGCCATCCCGCTGGGGCGCTGCGGGCTCGGTGAGAGCGGGGGCCCGGGAGAGGTCGGGGGTCGGGGCGGGAGAAGGGAGACTGAGGGGCGGCGGCGGCGGCCAGGTCCACACTGCAGCTCGGGAAGAGCCCTCGGTCGGCTCCCGGAGCAGGGCCCGGCCTGGGGCTAGGCGGTACGCTCAGTTAATTTATTTGTAAAACTAAGGTGCACTATTGAACTTGAAGATGGTTAAGACCTTTTTTAGCACTGACAGGTGGTTCTAAGTTTGAGAAGATAAACGGTAAAAGGTCAGGGACTAGGCGTTTTCTTTTGAGAATCAACTAAAAATGAAGGTGCCAACTGGGAGAATCTCAGGAGACCCTTCTAGTTCTCTGATTCCATGCGAGCCCCTAAGCTGCTTCCGTGAGTACTGGCTAGTGATAATTTTTTTTTTTTTTTTTCCTTCGCAGATTTAATTGTTCAAGCTAAATCTGGCACTGGGAAAACCTGTGTGTTCTCCACCATAGCTTTGGACTCTCTTGTTCTTGAAAACTTAAGTACCCAGGTGAGTTAGCTCAGAGGACCAGAGGAGGATGTGTTACGTGGACTTTACCACAGGTCAGATGAAATACGAGTAGCCCCTCAGAGCTGGAAGTGAATTTGATGAATGATTGAGTTAAGTGGTGGTGGTGGTGAACTTTGGACTTTTCTATGCGTACCTTATTTAAATAGAATAAAGCTACCATATGTGTCAGTTTTCTCACTACTTGGTAATACAGACAGGGGTTCTTTTACTTACTGACTAATGTGATACTTAACATTTGACTTGATTCATGGTAATGTAATGCTCTGGCTATTGCTGATAACTGCAGGGTTTGTTTTTGTTTTTTGAGAGGGTATGGCTCTGTCACCTAGGCTGGAGTGCAGTGGCGGATCATTGCTTACTGCAACCTTGAACTCCTGGGCTCCAGTGATCCTCCCACCTCATCTTCCTAAGCAGTTGAGACGACAGGTGTGTGCCACTACACCTGGTTACTTTTTGTATTTTTTGTAGAGATGGGGTCTCCTCAGTGTTGCACAGACCGGCCTTGAACTCCTGGGTTCAAGCAGTCCTCCCACATTTGCCTCCCAAAGTACTGGGATTATAGGCATGAGCCACCACACCCGGTATGCATGTGGTTCTTAAAGCTCTGTAAATGTATCATATTCCTCTCCCATCTTCTAGGTTGTCTTAGAGTGTTTCTAAGATTGCCCTACCCAAATTAGCAGGAAATTTGGGTTTGGGGATCATTTCTTCAACAAAGATTTGTTGAGCCCATATTACGTATGAACAGTATGTTGGAGATTCAAAGATGAATTAGATGTGATTCTCATAACCTTACTTTGTAGTTTAGTTGTTATGGCAGACTGTATTTCAAGTTCTCAGGCATTGGTATATCTGATGATGAGTCTTCAACAGTGGTTTTTAATCCAGATATCCATGTTCATCACCTGGGAAGCTTTTTGAGTCCGTCTTATATCTGCCAAATCCTAGGTGATGTTGCACATTGGAAATCCTCCTACTTCCCAAGAACCTGAGCTAGTCTAATTGTAGATGAAGATGTATTTGAGGTTTTGGCTTCTGATAATTTGGCAACAGATAAAATGCTAAAATCCTGGAAAAGTTTCATAAATTCGTTTTTTTGAGTCTCACTCTGTTGCCCAGGCTGGATTGTGCAGTGGCACAATCTTGGTTCACTGCAACTTCTGCCTCCCGGGTTCAAGTGATTCTCCTGCCTCAGCCTCCCAAGTAGTTGGGATTACAATTGTGCATACCACATGCCCGGCTAATTTTTTTGTAATTTTGGTAGAGACGGGGTTTCGCCATGTTAGCCAGGCTGGTCTCAAACTCCTGACCTCAGGTAATCCGCCTGCCTCAGCCTCCCAACCTGCTGGGATCACAGGGGTGAGCCACCATGCCTGGCAAATTCATATTTTTAATTTCAGATCTTTGGATTATCACAGTTACATTATTTTTTTTGTGTGTAACAAAGTAATACATATTAATTTTTAGAAATAGGGAAAGTTCAGGAAAATTAGGAAGTACCAGAAAACAAAATCTATAGTTTCACTACCTAGAGAGAAACTGCTATTAAGAGTTTTGGCATATTTTCTCCTAGTTCTTTTTTTTTTAATCAATTTTTTCTCCTTGTAGTTAAGAGCACAAAAGTTTTGTTTTCTCCTTCTCCAGTAGCTACATTGCAAAGTTTTTACCGTGGCTTTCAAGGCCTTTTGTGATCTAGTCCTTGGAGCTAGATCTCTGACCTCCTTTACTTTCCCCCAGATTCTGTCATGTAGGCCTTCTTTTTCTTCCTCAAACACACCAAGAACACTGCCATCTTATGGCCTTTGCATTTGTTGTTTCCTGTTGGTGAAAACGCTTCCCCAGGTGTCATATAGCCAGCTCTACTCTATGCCGTACATGTAGGTCTCTGCTCAAGTATTACCTCCTTAGAGGAGGGTTCATGATTACCTCATTTAAAATGACTCCTCCTTTCCCTGTTTGATTTTTTATGATACTTTTCATTACCTGTCATTACTTATTTTTGTTTATTGTATATATTCTTATCCAAGAATGAAAGTACTGTGAGGGCAAAGACTTTATACTGTTAACTGTTGATTCCCCAGAAACTAGTATGTTGCCTAGCACAGAGTAGGTTCTTACTTAATATTTGTTGAATGAATGAATAAATGGAGTACAGTCAGCCCTCCCTGTCTTCAGGTTCTATATCAGCTGATGCAGCCAACTGTGGATCAAAAATACTTAGGGGCGGGGTGGGGGAACTATGAAAAATAATACAACAATAAAAAGATATAAACAAAAATACAGTGTAACCATTTACATAGCATTTAAATTGTATTAGGTATTATAAGTAATCTAGAGATGGTTTAAAATATGTGGCAGGATGTACATAGGTAACATACAGATATATGCAGTTTTATATAACAGACTTGAGCATCTGCCAGTTTTGGTATCTGGGGGCTTCCTGGAACCAATCCCCTGCGGATACCGAGGGATAACTGTATCTTACCGTATCAATAAAAACTCGTTTGAAATGATCATTTAAATGAAATATAGTGTGTCATGTAATGAATATACCAGTCCCCTATGTATTTCTCTGACTCAAAAAGTATACTTTGTTTTTTTTTAGATTTTGATCTTGGCCCCTACGAGAGAAATTGCTGTACAGATACATTCTGTTATTACAGCCATTGGAATCAAAATGGAAGGCTTAGAGTGTCATGTCTTTATTGGAGGGACCCCATTATCACAAGACAAAACCAGACTTAAAAAGTGTCATATTGCTGTTGGATCTCCTGGTAAGATAACAATGCCTGTTGGTAACCAGGGCTTTTAAGGAACTACACACTTTTAATATAACAATAAAGATATATGGGAGTCTTTGATAACTGTGATAATTATTTTGATTAGAAATTAAGAGCATTAGACCAGTGAGATTTAGGCACATGACTGGTTTACCAGTGGAATTTATGAAATTTGCATTCCTAAGTATGTTTGAGAAGACATGGGATAGACTTTTGAGAAGAGGAGAAATGCAATGACTTTCAGGAGGCCCTTCTAAGCCATGGATTGGGATTATTCTTTGGCTTCTCTATTATATTTGGTTGTGAATCACTCAGAATCAGAATCTTGCATTCAGTGCTTTAGGTCTTTTGATAGAAGTGGTGCTTATTTACTGGTGATGAAACGTGAGGGGAAAACAATGAGTTTAGGCAAGATCAGAGCTTCAGATTTCTGATTTGTGGTTTAGTGTGTACATGCATAATGAGAGTTGAATCAGGAAATTCAGCAGAACAACCTGTGAATAAGTAGAGTAACAACATTGACTGAGATTTACACAAATTTGGTACATCATAAATATTTCAATTCTTTTTTTTTTTTTTTGAAAATTAGGCAGAATTAAGCAACTCATAGAACTTGACTACTTGAACCCAGGCAGTATACGCCTCTTTATTCTTGATGAAGCAGATAAGCTTTTAGAAGAAGGCAGCTTCCAGGAGCAAATAAAGTAAGAAAAATAACTCACTTGACTATTAAAACAGTGTCCCAAAGTATCTATCTGTAACTTTTCCGAGTGGTGATTATTGTCTGAATACTTTACATGGTGTCTGTTTTTATTTTGTAGTTGGATTTATTCTTCCTTGCCTGCCAGTAAACAGATGCTGGCAGTATCAGCTACTTACCCTGAATTTTTGGCTAATGCTTTGACAAAGTACATGAGAGATCCCACTTTTGTAAGACTGAATTCCAGTGATCCAAGTCTCATAGGTATGTATAGCTTTTAGGTACTTACATTATTGGTTTGTTTGTGATACTCTGGAGCTTTCCCTTGCCTAGTTGTCTCTTGCTGTTTATTGGTTACCATTAGCATGTATGTTTGTTTTAACTGATAGCTCTTCTTTGTAGGTTTGAAGCAGTATTACAAAATTGTCAATTCATACCCTTTGGCACATAAGGTTTTTGAGGAAAAGACTCAGCATTTACAGGAACTGTTCAGCAGAATTCCATTTAATCAAGCTTTAGTCTTTTCTAATTTGCACAGCAGGTAATGTAACTTAAAAGGTCATCTGGGGAACTTGTGAAATAAAAGGATAGTCATGGGGCAATATTTGTAAATTTGTAACCATTTATGTTACATTTCATAGAGCACAACATTTGGCTGATATCCTTTCTTCTAAAGGCTTTCCTGCTGAGTGCATTTCAGGTAAGTTCATCTCTTACTTTAATCTTTATTTAGTATACTGACTTGAAGCCTCCAAAGTCAGGAAGAAGAAATACCACTTCATGAGTTATCTTGAGAGTGTGAAATTATCTTGTATCTTTTAGAGTAAAGGAATTTTCAGGCTTATTTTTCATTGGAATTTGATATGTCAATATCATTCTGTTTTTAAGGAGTAACTTGGTATATAGTAAAAAGTTAGAAAACTAGTGTTCAGAGAGACGTAATTTTATTAGAATCTCTCTTACAGCCACAAATAAATCTATAAAACCAAGTTCGTCTGTGTTAATATAAAAATATTTTTTCTTTAGAATTTTTTTTTTTTTTTTAAGTAATCATTGTTAAAATGCTGGAGATTGCTAACTGAATTGACTGTTTTATGGTTTTGTGGAAGGCAAAAGTGATTGAGTTCTTGCCACAAAGTTAAATGATTATTCCTGGCATAATAAGAATGAAAGAGTCAAAGGATTTTTTGATCAGTGAGGTCCTTTTTAGGATTTTGTTTGGTGTCAGCTTAGTTTTTAACCTGTTGGCATGAGCTTGTTTAGTTACGGTATATCATGAGATACTGGGGAGACTATTTTCTAATGAACCAATATTTTAACTATAGATCACACTTTAATACCAAATTATAAACAGCTGATTAAAGCATTTGTATTTTCCTAAGAATTGCTACTTATACTTCATATGTAACTTTGCAAATAGAATGTTATATATTCAGGCATGGCCTGATCACTATTTAAGATGGATTTTTGAATTTCAAGTTGATTGCCTAAACCACATTTTAAAAGACTTTAACTTTGGATCTTAACCTAGATTTGCACAGAAGGACAGAATTAACTGTGGTTGGTGTATTAAAAGTGTTAAGACTGGGTCTTATGCTTTTTACTTTTTGTGGATTTGATAAATATGTATTAGCTTAGTTGTTTTTATGTGACTTTCTTTTGGGATCCTTTTAGGCAATATGAATCAGAATCAGCGTCTTGATGCTATGGCTAAACTGAAGCAGTTCCATTGCAGAGTCCTCATTTCCACAGATTTGGTAAATTTCCTATTCAGTTTGGGTGACTAATCCATCTTGACATATGTTCTATTATCAGATGTACAGATTTCATCTATTATTTTATGTAGGTGTATCTAACAAGAATACCAGAAGATAATTATCTTTCCGGTGCTGAGGAAAATACTTTCTTAAAAATGTCTTTAATGTGTTGATCTTTGTCCTTGAAATTAGTCATTAGGAATGAACTTCCTTTTCCTCTGCTCCTCAATATTCTGTTCTTAATTTGGCTCTTGGCGATACTGGAAGAATATAATATGCTGGAAGACTATAATATGCATTGGTAGCTATGCCATACAGTTAATGCAAACAAATAATTGCTATATTCTTCAATTCAAGACTTCTCGTGGGATTGATGCTGAGAAGGTGAATCTGGTTGTAAATCTGGATGTACCATTGGATTGGGAGACATACATGCATCGGATTGGGAGAGCTGGCCGTTTTGGTAAAAAAAAAAAAACAAGTTTGAGTGCTTTCTTTAAGGGGCGGGATCTGTAATGTGACAGGTGGGCTTTGAATGTTATTTTTGTGAAAATGATTTACTACCATTCTCTCTGCTATAGGTACATTGGGACTGACAGTGACCTACTGTTGCCGGGGAGAGGAAGAAAATATGATGATGAGAATTGCCCAGAAATGTAATATCAACCTTCTCCCTTTACCAGGTACATGTCATCTGTTTCATTTTGCTGTCAAAATAATTATAGTGGTGATAAGCATAATAAAAATATTAATAATAGCTAACACAGAGTGCTTATGATGTGCTGGGTACTGTTCCCAGTCCTGTATGTACGTTAACTCATTTACTTCTTACCACACTCCTGTGAGGTGTGTGCGATTATTTTGTAGATGAGGATATTTAGGCATAGAGAGAGTAAGTAAAGGTGTTACAACTAGTAAGTAGTAGGGAGAGGAGTGCAGGCTAACCACTGGCACATGAAAAATGAGAGCTGGCTGGGTGCAATGGCTCACGCCTGTAATCCCAGCACTTTGGGAGGCCGGGACGGGTGGATTACCTGAGGTCAGGAGTTCAAGACCAGCTTGGTCAACATGGCAAAACCTCTTCTCTACTAAAAATACAAAAATTAGCCGGGCGTGGTGGCAGATGCCTATAATCCCAACTACTCGGGAGGCTGAGCAGGAGAATTGCTTGAACCCAGGAGGTGGAGGTTGCAGTAAGCCAAGATCAAACTATTGCACTCCAGCTTGGGCAACAAGAGTGAAACTCCGTCTCAAAAAAGAAAAAAGGAAAAATGAGAGCTATATTAGCTCTATTAGTTAGTGGCTTTGCAATTTGATTGTATTCTTTGATACAAGGGGGGATATTTTTCCTCTTAAATTGCTGTGAAGGTAATTCTTGCCATATTCTCCTTTGTCACCATGTGGAAGGAACAGCATCTTTAATTTGAATACTATTTTGAAAAATTGGAGTGAAATGTTTTCTTTTGATTTCAGTTCAGTCATTCGTTCTGCTTCTTTTTAAGTGCTGTATTAGAAACAATGCATGTTTGAAACTATTAATGATCTCTTAAAAACAAAAAATTCTAAAAAATCCTTGAGTGGAAATATGGCATGTTTGATGTACATGTTATACAGAAAATGTGCATTATAAATAGTGTATATTCATATATAGATGTATGTCTGTATAGAAAAATACACATATAGGTCACGCCTGTAATCCCAGCACTTTGGGAGGCCCAGGCAGGTGGATCACGAGGTCAGGAGATCAAGACCATCCTGCCTAACATGGTGAAGCCCTGTCTCTACTAAAAATACAAAAATTAGCCAGGCATGAAGGCTGAGGCGGGAGAATGGCATGAACCCGGGAGGTGGAGCTTGCAGTGAGCTGAGATCCACCATTGCACTCCAGCCTGGGCGAAAGTGCGATACTCAGTCTCAAAAGAAAAAAAAAAAAAGGAAAAATACACATATAGTATATACATGACTTTGTGGAATATGGGATATGTAATTATTGAATAAATATAATTGAGTATTTTACCGATTTTATATTATTTTACAAAGCTAGATTTAAGCACAGATCTGGGAGTTCTATGTATTCTAGTAGATCGGGTTAGTAATGACTCATCTTATGATCTTTTACAAATTTCTGTAATTGCTCTAAGCTTAGAGTCCTGATTTGCAAAGTACTTTAGAGTAAATGGTCTTTAGGCTCTATGTCAGTTCTAAAACTGTCAATTCTTTCTGTGTATAAGTCTATTCGTAGTCTGATATGGGAAAAAAAATTGAAAATTGGTAGAAGAGGGTTAAGACTTCTTGTAGGATTCAGTATCATAACATCTAGTGATAAAAATTGCCTTTGGATACTGGAAAATGATATATTTGGATCTTTATGTAATGTTAACAGGGCCCTGAAATCATGAGAAAATGATATTCATGCTGTTAGGTCTATATTGAACTGGGAACTTGTGTAACAACAGATGTTCAGATGAGTTTCCTGGGGCAGAACTAGGAGGGAAATTGGCCTGTATTACAGGACTAGGCAAGCAAGGGATATCAGCTGAGTAGTAATGAGAGTTTTAATCATAGAATCTGTTCAGCAAAGGATCAAGAGACTTCATTGAAGTTTCCAGACCTGTTGGATTTATAGATAACATGGAGCATAAATAGCAACAACAGGCAAGATCTTTGTAAAGCAGGGGCTTGATATATCTTGTCTGCCTAAGACAAAAATTGATCACACTTTGAAAGTTCTGAGTGCTGGAAGCAAATTGTCACACCTGGATGGAATAGAAAATTTAGAGGGTTGAAGCCAGCAAATTCTTTAAAAATTAGAAATGTCATTTCTAATTTTCATAGTCATCTAGTTTTTTTCCCCTATAGAGGTTTTCTCTCCATTGTTAAGGGCAGTGATTTCTCCCTGTTGGAGTATTGGGTGACAGATTTAGTTGGGTGTACAGCATTGCAGTTGTGATATCTCCTAGTCGATAAGCTTTGGGGAGCACAATCTATTTTCTGATATCTTGTTTTGCTGTCAAGTATTGAGATAAAGAGGAGGGGCTGTGGAGAGGGAGGAGAGAAAAGATGGGAGAATTGCAGCAGACTTGTACATTATTCCTAGAGTAAGCTCTTTTTCTAGTGAGGGTGAGGGGAGATAGTGCTTGTGAGTATGGGATAGGTCTTATGTATTTCTTAGGCAGATTTCTTTATTACGGGATTGCTTCAGTTTTTAAAAATATATCTATTAAACATCTTAGTATATTTGCATATTTTGTTTCGTAAATGTATTTGATCATAGAAAACTTTATGAAATCATTCAGAAAACAGTGGTCTAGAGTAGCTTGAGAATTTTAATACATTTGTCTTCCTTTTTATGTAGATCCCATTCCTTCTGGTCTGATGGAAGAATGTGTGGATTGGGATGTGGAGGTTAAAGCTGCTGTGCATACATATGGCATAGCAAGTGTACCTAACCAACCCCTAAAAAAGCAAATTCAGAAAATAGAGAGAACTCTGCAAATTCAGAAAGCTCATGGTGACCACATGGCGTCCTCTAGAAATACTTCTGTATCTGGACTATCAGTCAAGTCAAAAAATAATACCAAACAAAAGCTTCCTCTGAAAAGCCACTCCGAGTGTGGAATCATAGAAAAAGCAATGCCACCAAAAGAAGTGGGCTGTGACAGGCAATCTGAAGAGCAAAAAATGAAGAATTCTGTTCAGACCCCCGTTGAAAACTCCACCAACAGTCAGCACCAGGTCAAAGAAGCTTTACCTGTGTCACTCCCCCAAATTCCTTGTCTGTCTTCCTTTAAAATCCATCAGCCATACACATTGACTTTTGCTGAATTGGTAGAGGATTATGAACATTATATTAAAGAGGGGTTAGAGAAACCTGTGGAAATCATCAGGCACTACACAGGTCCTGGGGATCAGACTGTGAATCCTCAAAATGGTTTTGTGAGAAATAAAGTTACTGAACAGAGAGTCCCCGTATTGGCAAGTAGTAGCCAATCTGGAGACTCTGAGAGTGACAGTGATTCTTACAGCTCAAGAACCTCTTCCCAGAGCAAAGGAAATAAGTCATACTTGGAAGGCTCTTCTGATAATCAGCTGAAAGACTCTGAATCTACTCCTGTGGATGATCATATTTCTTTGGAACAACCTCCAAATGGAAGTGACACCCCCAATCCAGAGGAATATCAAGAATCATCTGGAATCCAGATCAAGACAAGACATAAAGAGGGGGCTAGCCAGAGAGCTAAGCAGAGCCGGAGAAACCTACCTAGGCGGTCTTCCTTTAGATTGCAGACTGAAGCCCAGGAAGATGGTTGGTATGACTGTCATAGGGAAACACATCTGAGTTTTTCTGATACCTATCAGGATTATGAGGAGTACTGGAGAGCTTACTACAGGGCATGGCAAGAATATTATGCTGCTGCTTCTCATTCATATTATTGGAATGCTCAGAGACATCCAAATTGGATGGCAGCTTATCACATGAATACCATTTATCTACAAGAAATGTTGCATGGTAACCAGCGATTGTAGATATACCTGAGACCATCAGGAACTGTCAACAGATGATACCTTTGGATATCCATCCTCCTTGACTTATAGTACAGTGGTGTATAATGGCATTTCTGATCAACTTGAAAGGACTTGAGGCTTTCCACTGGGACACATCCATTTTTCAGATTGTTTTGATTTAGGCCAGGTATATTATCTTCATTTTTAAGAGTTTCTTTAAGAAACTTCATCAGATTCTTGAAAGATAATTTTTGGGACATAGAGCTGAAAGTTTCAGGGTGCCATTTTCTATAAGATCTTCCCAAAAGAAACATTTAAAAAGATGACATATATACCAGTGCTTACTTAAACACAATAAAAACAGTAGATTTGAGCAGTAATGTTAGTTTGCTGTGGAGTTCTTTACAAAGGGCTTAGGCTGCATTTCCTTCTATAGAGGTGCATTCTTGTAGAAATTTGTGGCATGGTAGATCAGAAAATCCTCTTAGGTTTAGGCAGGAGGAAATATTTAAACATTGTTTTAGATTTTCGTAAAGGTATTTGATTTGATCTGTTTGCTTCCAGTAAAAATACTTGTTTTTAGTAAAAAATTTAAGTACATTTACATGCTTATTGTTTATCTTTTCTTGAGGCTGTGAAAGCTGTCCACATTTTTACTGTGTATTAAATAGCTGAGGGTCATCAGTGGCTGTCTTATGTTGCTCAGATAGAGGAGCAGCTCTTAATCTTTTTTGGTTCTTGGATCCTTTCATGAATCAACTGAAAGCTATAGATTGACTTCAGGAAATTTCTCATTCCATAAACAGAATTGTGAGTGTAATTTCTTTTTTTTTTTTTGTGACGGAGTCTCGCTCTGTCGCCCAGGCTGGAGTGCAGTAACCGGATCTCAGCTCACTGCAAGCTCCGCCTCCCGGGTTCATGCCATTCTCCTGCCTCAGCCTCCAGAGTAGCTGGGACTACAGGCGCCCACCACCTCGCCCAGCTAGTTTTTTGTATTTTTTTAGTAGAGACGGGGTTTCACCGTGTTAGCCAGGATGGTCTCGATCTCCTGACCTCGTGATCCGCCCGTCTCAGCCTCCCAAAGTGCTGGGATTACAGGCTTGAGCCACCGCGCCCGGCCTGTAATTTCAAGGGGTTCATAGATCCTCTGAAATTCATCTATATAGTCCAGATTAACAAGTGACCTGCTCTGCTGGTAGGCTAGGGGGAAGTTCTAGCTCTTAGTTTTTAAGTATTTTGTGGAAGCTGGAATTGATTCTCTTCAGACACTTGTCAGTACATCCTAATCTTGTGTCTTCTAGGAAATGTTCCCCAGTTTTTACCTCTAATGTTAGGATCCAAGAGGAGCTATTGTTTTTCTGAGCTGATCCATCTGTAAATTTTCTTGATTTAGAAATTTTTATGATTTAGAAAAATGTAATTGGAAATTACCTATTCTTTCCTTTTTTCCTCTGGAAGTCCTTTTATGATTAAGCTTTTGGTTCCCAAGACTTTCTGTGAACTGGATTTTTGATGAGAGAACCACTTGTGTAGAGAGATGTGTATTCACTTTTTAAAAGGAAAGCTCTCTTCTTTCCTGTGTACATACTTGTCTAGGTAGTATAAACACTTTCCCCAGGACTGTCAGCAAACACCCACAGCCACTGTCATTTATTGTCCAACACCTACATAACACAATTCTAAACTCCTATTTAACTTGGATTCCTGTCATTTGGATTGGGCAATATTAGGCTTTTCTTACATGTGTCAGTATATGAATTAATAATGTAGTTAGCAAATCCATAATTAGGTCCAGTATGTCATTAAGAAGTAGAGATTTTAATTACACATTTAAATAAGATCCTGTCATTGATACATAATTGAATTTACTTTTTCCATCCTTTCCCCCACAATACAGCCAAGTTCAGTTTGTCATTGCTAGGGGATTTTAATTAGTTTACTGCTGTATCTTAATTAGAGATGAGGTTACCCATTAGTCTTCAGATTAATTGGATTCTCTATTTTGTGTTTGCTTTTTTTTTCCCCCACAGAAAAATAAGCTGGAGGTAAGCATATGTATAACATACAAAAATACTAATTGCTTCAATTTCCATAAGCTTTTACCAGGAAAATGGCAGCTGTCACCTTCTCAAATAACAGGTAGCTATAGTTGTGGATGTGGAAGGAATCTTCCACATACTACTATTTGTGTGTGACTTACCGTTGTGTGGAAATTTTTTTTTTTTTTTTTTTAAATTGTCAGTCTAGGTGCATCTTTCCATCATCTGTTAGGAACCATAGAGAGGTTTAAGGTAGATTCACTTGAGAAGGCTCTGTGGTGGTGTGAAGAAGGTACTTGTCCTGGTTGATACTGCTACTACCTACTTTTTAACCTTGGACCAGTCATTTAACCTCTTATGATTCAGTTTTCTCATCAATAAAATGAAAGTTGGACTAGAAGATTTTTAGGATCCCTTCTAGTTCTATGATTATATGACATGTGCTGAAGAAAAAATAGTTTCTAGTTCAGGAAAAGGATAATCAAATTTAAAAATTCAGAAAGCCTTTATAAATTCAAGTAATTTGGACAAAGGCTGGTGTGAATTGGTTAAATATCTGAATTTGTGAATACTTTCAAATCAATACACTTACTGCAGCTATTCATGTTAAGCTGTAACTTGAATTAGGCTAGCAATATTAACATGTAGTGAGATTTGAGAAACCTGCTACTTTGAATAATTCTGACTTAGACATAGAATATGAATTATTTTGGGTGATTAAAGGTAATTTTTCTAAAGTAGCTTAGGTATTACAGTAATATTTATTAAACTTTTAAAAATGTGGTTTAAAGGCAAACTTCAGCCCCCAAATACTAAAAATAATTGAACATATAGTACTTGTGGATCACTCTGTATGAGACAAGGGAGTAGTGTGAAGTTTTACGGTTTTTTTTCCCCTTTCTCTTAAATAAAATCTATGTTAGTCTTTTAAAAATATGTATTTTTGATAACCATAGCTGACAGTAGAACTCCATCACAAGGTTATTGACTTGTTTTGGCAGAATGTGTTTATTATTTTGTACCTCTGCACAAGCTCATGTGTCTCACTTGACAGTTAGTGCACTTTAATGAAAAAACACAAATTGCTCAATGCACATCTGGTTTCCAGTTATTTCTACCCAAAGATTATTTGGGCTGTGGGTCTGCAGTGACACCTAGTGGGTGATAAGGATGTGAGCATCAATGATTAAAATGAATTTCACAGCTAACTTCTAGGGCTTTTGGGCATCATGTATTTGTCTTAATGTTCTCATTTCTATTACTGTTTTCATCAGTTAGGATCTAGTTGTGGGAAAATTAAAAGGATTCTCCTCATTGCCAGTGCTGAAACAGACTGCCAGTTGGTCTCATCACCTAAGTCAGAATTGTTAAGTTTGGAACAGATTTCCAAGATAACTAATCCAATCCCTATTTTTTGTTTTTTTTTTTTGCGTTTTTAGAGATGAGGGTCTTACTATGTTCCCTAGACTGGACTTGAACTCCTGGGCTCAAGGGATCCTCCTGCCTTAGCCTCCCAAGTAACTGGAACTACAGGCACATGCCACTATGCTCTAATTCTCCATTTTTAACAGGAGGAAACTTACTGAAGCCGAGAGGGAATTACTGATGTGAAGTCACAATTAAGTGCTAGAACCTAAACCTGAATCTCCACCATCCGATTCCCAAGCTTTCTACAATACCCCTTACAGCATTTAATTCTGAGTTTTCTTTTTAGTTTGAGAACTTGGTACTCAGCAAAACCAGTACTGATACCTAAAGGCAGATTTTCTTTCAATAATATGGAGTCAGTGTTCAAATAGAGCTGTTGATAAAACCAAATGCTTTACCTGTTAGACAGTGAACATCCACAAATAACAGCATACAAGCAGGCAAGTACCATCAGGGATATCATAGAGGAGTTGTTTATGTTTAACATTGAGGGATGGAGTGGGAAGATTACACTAGGCCTTTAATAACCCTTGTAAAAGTCTGTGAGTTTTCTCTAGCAAGGTAGAAAGCCCACCTTTGTTCAGATTTTTCTTATTTTCTAGTATATACCAGCACCTTTGGGAGGAAAGGAGAATCAGTATTCAAAGAAACAGTCATTTAGGGTTTGTGGCACATAGTTTGTTTAATCCAGATTGGATACATCAGGTACAGCAGTGGCACACGACTCAATACTGTAAATGATATACATGTTTTAACATATGCACTACAGTTTCAAAAGAAGACGACAGGAAACTCAAGAGTTGTTTTTTTTTTTTCATAGAAAGTTTTCATGTTTTATCTTCCTGCAGTTTTGTACAGTATATTTCTTCTTTGCCATTGTGATGTTGATAAGCAAAGCCCATTTATTATATGAAAATAGAAAAGAACACACTTGATGTATCTCACGATGACATTAATGGGGGGAAGGGTGTGACCTCTAAGTAAAACATTACATTGGAATGTCTGATTATCAAAAATATACCATCCCTCCCACCTCCCAGGTTTGTAAAATAGTCCATTGGTCCAAGGAGCCCCCAGGACGTGGGTCAGTGCCCTACACTGGTTAGACTGACATCATCCAGTGTAGCTGAGTAACCTGCTAAGATAAATGTCATTCCCACACTTGAGAAAAAACATAGAACATTCTGAATAGAAAACAAGACTTAAAAGGAGCCCCTTTAAAGCTGTTTCATTTTCTGATAGCCACTTTCTCTTAGTTTTAATAATGCTCTTCATGGTGCTGTTCGGGCTCCAAGGGTCATGGGTCATAACAATGTTTTTCCTTCATCTAGTCATTTTAAAGCTTTGCAAATAGTGGATTTCATTAGGAAATCAGAAAGAGAAAATAAAAGTTTGTCATGGTTACCATGCCAAGTAGTGTAGAAAGGAAATGAATATTGCCTTAAGTTCACAGCATTGGGATATTTTTGCCTTATAGTTACCTGGTAATTGAAGTGCGGGAGACTGGAAAACTGGAATTCATTAGTAACCTCAAAATCTAGTGTTAGCTCAATTTTCAACCACTTCCTCTGCAAAACTTAAGGAAAAACTTTTAAGTACATAACGTCTCAATGTACACTTTCCTTGTCTACAATCTAATAAGTGATATCCTGAACTGTAGGAATCATATTTTGAAAACTGGATAAAATCATCAGCATATCCACCAGTTGACGTTTTTGTTAATCATAGATTGGCATTAACTGTCCACTTTAAGTTCTGTTCAAATTCTGTGTGATTGTAAACTAATGTGTTCAACTGTCACTGAGAATATCTATTGGTCTTCTGAAAGGGAGTCTATGCAGTTAGTCCTGAGCTTGGCACTAGTTATGAAAATAGGAGATGAAGGAGAAATAGTACAGAGTTTGTTTCCACAGATCTT